GGACATCATGTTATGGAATGTGAATATGTGGTTTATATATGTATCTCTTATGCTTTTCCGCATGCTGCCAGTCGAGAGTTTGTTTGCTTTGCAGAAAATTTCAGTCTTGGCAAGTGAATTAACTTATTTGTCTCAGGTACCCAGGAGCTAATTGAAATAGGAATTAAAATGCTATCCCACTGAGAAAATAAACCTGTTCAGAAAAGAACATAACTTTTGTAATGCAATATTCATCGAGCTTACTTATATCTTGTTTTCAGTCTGATTCTTCTTCCTAATAAGATTTGTCCTAATATTTTTTTCTATTTGTTAAGAGTCCTGCAAATGAACAGAACCTATTACATGATGGTGAGAGTCCGTATTCCTGTGATGTGTGTCATATTTCATTCACTCTTCGAACTACACTGAAGAATCATCAACGCATTCACAGTGGGGACCGTCCATATTCCTGTAATGTGTGTAATAAGACATTCAGCAGTAGAGGTAGTTTGAAAATACATCACCGTTTACATAGTGGTGAGCGTCCATTTTCCTGTGATGCGTGTAACAAATCATTCATTGAACAGAGTACTCTGAAGAAACATGAACGTACGCACAGTGGAGAAAAGCCATATTCCTGTGAAGTGTGTAATGAGTCATTTAGTCATATGGGTAATCTTAAGAATCATCTACGTATCCACAGTGGGGAGCGGCCATATTTATGTGATGTATGTAACAAATCATTCACTCAACTGAGTAATTTCAAGTTACATCAACGTACGCACAGTGGAGTAAGGCCTTATTCCTGTGATCTGTGTAAGAAGTCATTTGTTCAGAAGGTTTCTTTGAAGGATCATCTACGGGTCCACAGTGGGGAGCGGCCATATTTATGTGATGTATGTAACAACTCATTCACTCAACAGAGTAATTTGAAGAAACATCAGCTTACGCACAGTGGAGTAAGGCCATATTCCTGTGATCTGTGTAAGAAATCATTTGTTCAGAAGGTTGCTTTGAAGAGTCATCTACGGGCCCACAGTGGGGAGCGGCCATATTTATGTGATGTATGTAAGAAATCATTCACTCAACTGATTACTCTGAAGAAACATCAGCTTACGCACAGTGGAGAAACTCCATATTCCTGTGATGGCTAATAAATCATTCAGTCATCAGAGTAATCTGAAGGATCATAAGCGTACGCACAGTGGAGAAACTCCATATTCCTGTGATTTGTGTATTGGGTCATTTAGTTGGAGGAGTGTTCTTAAGATACATTTACGCATCCACAGTGGGCAGCTGCCATATTTCTGTAAGGTCCGTAAATAATTGTTCGTTCAGAAGGGTGCTTTGAAGACACATCAACTTAATACATGGTAGACAGCAGCCACATTTATGAGATGTATATCGTAAATGATTCCTTTACCAGCGTAATCTCATTACTAATCTGTATTTCAGTGATATTAAATGAATTCATTAATAGAATAATCTGATTAGTCAATACATGTGGGTTGCGCATCTTCTTGTGATATATGTAACTCTTTCTATTATCAGAAGAGAATTTGTTTTATACAGGAATATTATGCAGGATGGGAATAGTATTTGTGCATTTGAGGCAGAGGGCAGTCACATTCTTGTTTAATAAAATGATGAGCTTCTCATGATGTGACGTGAAGTTTCTTAGCCACTAAATGCAATAAATTCTTCTTGCATCTCGTGTTGTGTTATCTGTATAACATTCTTTCTTCAAAGAAGCTAAACAGTGACAGTGATGTACTTTTGGTTTAACAATTTTATTCAGTCTATTTCTTCCAAAACATTTTATAATTGTTTCATTGGTATCGGGAATGTTATATAATTTTAAGATGTGTTAAGCATTTGTCACTTTTGTTATTTTAGTTGCATTTATTACTGATAGTTCAAAATAATCATACGAATCTTCAGGTTACTTGCAGGTCAGACAGGAGTGTAAGTTGCAATGGCTTTGTTATCAATAGCCCACCTTCTGAATGCTGTGCTTGGAAATGTCACAAGCAGATCTAAGTGACGGCATATGTGCTTTCATACGCAGAAAGCATTTGAGTGTTTTGTAAAAGATATTCCTACATAGTCGGAGGTGTATTTATTGTTCTTCCTATGTATTTTACATTTTCTGCTAATGTAATCACTATTTGTTATCATAGGATAATATACTAAGCTTGTCCAGGAAACTTCACATGATACATGCTAGGAATATGAGAAGTACATAAGTGTGGTTTGTTTGAGGGCTTGAAGCTTAGCACTCACCCCCGTGCATTGCCAATGGTAAGAATGTATGGATGTATAGTTCCTATTTGCCACATCTCATTATAGAGTCATCAGTTAAAGCACAGGGATTCATACTCGTACCATAGTCACCAATATAGTACACAGATAACCTCACCCTCTTTACCTTTTTCATAAATTGAACCGCGAGTGGGACTTTAAAGATACAGGTAGATTCTCACTTGAAGTAGGAAAACTCAGGGAAATGACCAACGCATGTAAGGAAAGTATTAAGTATTACAGTGTGTGTTTCGGAATTCATTCCTGCATTGAAATATTGATAAGACTGATGATTATGATGCTTTTAAGGACTATATATGCTAGTTAAGCTGTGCCCAGGTGTAGATCAACACTGCTTGACACTCATTCAGACTCTGCAGAAAAGGCAAGAAGTAGTTTTAAGTTGTGGATATATTACCCCTACAGGAACAAAAATCAAATTTTTATAATGCTTTTTCTCCTGTTGGGTTGTTAGCAGCAACTTTGAAGTAACCATGTCACTTCCTAGTCTTACATTCAAAATTACAAGGCAATTCAGCAGAAATGTGTTCTGAAAACCTATTAAATTTTCATGTGATTCTTAAAAATGTTTCTTTCCACAATACTTGAACATAATTGTTCAGGTGGCAACATGTTTACTGTTTGTAGACTGAATGATGTATTTGCATGGCAACCTGCCAGAGAGAACCAAGCTGTCATAAAAACCTGAACATGGAACTACAATCAATGATCATACACATTTATAAAAGTTTCGCTTCCTGACAGGGATCTGTGCTCTGGCAATGCATATCATTTATGCAAGAAGCAGTAACTACTGTAAAGAACGGTAAATAAAGTAAAGTTGTCCTGCCTCATGCAATGTAGGTACTTGGGGGGAGAGGTGGTATAGAACCAACTAATTCTTAACCTTATGGGCTGTGAAGCCCTTCATTGTGCAGTTTTGTCTGTGATACATTATGCTCCCATTTAGACCCAAATATTTACCTCAAAAAACTGTTCTAAAGGACCCTCAATCCATGTCCTCAAAGTGAACAAAACCAAGTTTCACACCCATACAGCACAACTGGCAAAATTACAAGTAAATTTTCAAGGGTTCAGAGACAAGAACTCTTTCTGTTGGATCCAACTGAGTAGGTTCCCTTCACCCGTTTATAAACTGTGGAAGGAAGTAGATCCAGATTCCTAAAGGTAGTGTTCTTTTTAAAAACAGATGATGGACATACTACTGGAATTTAGTGATCTGGATGTCAAAAATCCACTTTTGTGTACTTTAGCCTTTGTTTTTATATTAGGACCTTAATTTAATCTGCTCTTAATTTCATCATGAATTATCATACTGTCCTGTTAATGTAATATATATATTATTAGTAGTGTTTATAATTTGCGAATTATTCACCAGTTATTCAATTTTTACCATTACTTATTACAAGCCGTGCACATTCTCCTTACTACGAAGTGGCCGTTACTGTAATGATCAACAAAATACGATTGCAACAAATAAATATGCATCGATATAACCTGTTCATGTAGTGAAAAGAATTACATACTGCTCGGATGTATTTTGCATCTGGATAGGTTGCCGATATGCATTGCGTGGAAATAATATACTTGAGAAACATGTTTTTAAAAAAAGTTTAATATTTGTGCCAAAGCTATTTGTACAGATAGTGTATTGATAAATATCGGTTTGTAAGGCTCGTTATTTTGACTGAACCAAGTCTGAAAGTGAGGTTATACTCATTAATTAAGTGAGTTCAATCAACATAACGTCGCATATGAAGATGAGCCCGTAGGCTAAAAAACCAAAGTTATCTTCTTCAATAGGTGTCTATGATTGCGACCTACAGGTTTTTAAAGAGTGTGACAAAATTCCTTACATCCGTGGAAGGGTATGTTGTACATAATGTAATGTATATTTGGCTGTTATTGTTCGTTATTTTTCACACATTCATTTCATCGACCATTCACTAGAACAATATATGTCTGTCCAGTGTGATCATCATTATGTGTGATTCCTCGTTTTTATGTAACTTTACTGGGAACCGTAATTTCTCTTCCCAATGTGAAGAAATATATTAATGTATTTACGAAATTGAATTGGTTCACTTTCTCGTGTAAGCAGATCATATTATAGAGACATTTCTGTATTGTATATTATTATTTCCATGAAGATGATCTACTTGCATTTGAGTTAGGTATATATTTGTTTCATTACTAACTAATTGATTCTTAATTTAATATTCTGATAATCCATCTACAGTGAATGTGATATTTGTCTGAGAAC